GAAGAAAAGAATCATCATGACCCTGTCCAGAGCCAAGAAGTGTGTCAATACCATTCTTGACATGATTTATTGCAGATAACCTAAACGTGTGTCCAACTTAGAAGACACGTGCTTCTTCCCAGAGGCAACTTGACAAGGTTGGGCAGAAGAGTTGAAGGAGAAAAGGCATGAGTTAGTCTTGGGCAACCAAAATCCACAGTGATGTCAGGACCCCTTTATCACTGGCAATGAATTGTCTACTCATCAGACATCGTATTATCTCACTTCTCCTCCAATGAAGACCGCTGATGAAACCACAGGTCAATTTCTACTTCCTGCATCCTTCCTACTTGCCTTTGTTAATAGGATGATGTGTTGGGGAATGAACTCTTCAGTGATTCCGACTCTGCTTCCATGGATTCAAGTGTGAGGTTGTGTGTGGGGCAGAGATGAATGTTTTGTTCAGCTGAGCCTGCCTGGTCTTTTTCTTTTTTAGAAATACATACTATAGAATGGTTCCCCAGAGTGAATCTCTCTGTCTATACTCAGAATCCTGAAGGCATCTATCTTTTTCCTCTTGGTGGGTAGAAGAAATCAATTGAGCTATCCAATATGCACATTGCTTGAATCCTAATATCTGGATCCAACATTTTTCATCTGTATTTTTTTCTATTCACCTCATGAATATCTTACTGTTACTTCAGACTCTAAACTGAGCTTGGTGCCATCCCCCTCTTACAAATGAATTCAGGTTTTTCTTTTACTTTCCAACTGTAGGAGTAGTAGTTGCAAAAGCAGAATTGATTTGTGGCATGACATGCATCAGGAATGATACCAGCATTCTTTAAAATTTGCTAAGCCAATGACGTTGAGGCTTTTCTCTTACTTCTCAGTCCTACATGGCAATTTTGAAAATTCCTTTCATTTTTCCCCTTTCATCTATTTTAAATTATATTGCCTGTCTAGACTTTTGTCATCACACTCATTGATCATTATAAAAGTTCTATACCTTTTTCCCTGGCTCTAATTGGTTCTTTCTTCATGTTATCAAAAATGGCTTACATGATCTTAAAATTCTACTTTGTTCATGTTGAACCCTATCTGTGCAGTGTCTGCTGCATGTCATATGTGCCAAGTTTTAAATATCTTGCTTGAATTAGCTACATCTACCCATTAAGCTTCGCCAGTATGCCTACTGCACAGACAAGCTGCCTCTTGGGAAAGCCAGTCTTCTCCTTGACCTTCATACAAGTGGGGCTCTTTCCCATTCTGTGTGCTGCTGCTCTGTAAGTATTCTTGGTCTAAGGTCAAGGAAAAGTCTGACCTCCTCCTT